TCTCTCCAGACATCGGTGGGTACTTCGAGGAGGGCACCTGGGTGCGGTACAACATCCTGCCCATGTCGCTGTACGCCGCCCGGGAGTTCGCCAGCATTGTGAGCAGCCCTTGGCAGCCCCTGCCTGGCTACAACCTCACCAGCGAGGAAGTCAGCTTCAGCTTCAGCACCACCTCGGCACCTGCTGTGCTGCTGTACGTCAGCACCTTTGTCAAGGACTACATGGCCGTGCTCATCAAGGATGACGGTGAGGGCAAGGCCCCCTGCCCTGTGGGTGCCACTTTCCAAGCCTAGAGATGGGCTGGACGTGCCCACTGAGAGGTCCAGCCCTGCTGACAGCCCTGTGCTGCCCACAGGGAGCCTGCAGCTGCGCTACCAGCTGGGCACCAGCCCCTACGTCTTCACTCTCACCAACAAACCAGTGACAGACGGGCGGCCCCACCGTGTCAACATCACCCGCCTGCACCGCACGCTCTACACCCAGGTTTGGGCTGGGGCACCCTCCCAGTGGGGCCTGGGGGCTTCAGGTCAGGCTGGGAGGGGGCATGGGCAGGGTGGCTCTGTGGGCACTGATGCTGTGCACCTTCCTCCCAGGTGGACTATCTCCCCGTCATGGAGCAGCAGTTTTCCCTGTTTGTGGACAGCAAGCTGGACTCGCCCAAAAACCTGTACCTGGGTCGTGTGATGGGTGAGCTGGGTCCTGCCCATGCTGGGGTCTCTGGGATTTCCTCTGCACAGCATGGCCCTTGCCCTCTGAGAAGGATGAATGATCTCTTTCTGTGGCCCCACAGAGACTGGCGTGATCGACCCCGAGATCCAGCGCTACAACACACCTGGCTTCTCAGGCTGCCTCTCAGGGGTGAAATTCAACACCCTCGTGCCCCTCAAAGCCATCTTCCACCCCACCAGTCCCCTGCGGCCCTACAGCATCCGGGGAGAACTGGTGGAGTCGAGCTGTGCCTCAATGCTCCCCCTCAGCACCCTCCTTATCCCTCCTGAGATGGACCCCTGGTACATGGCCACAGGTGGGTGCTGTGGTGGGACCCTGGTGGGGATGGAGCCCTCGTCAAGCACCAGCTGCAGAAGGGAAGCTCCAGCATGAGACCTTGCTGCAGCCTGGTCTCAGCTGCCTCCTCTGTCTCTGCAGAGTTCCCCCACGTGCACGACGACGGCTGGGTTGGGATCATCATCGGGTGTAAGTGAAGCCTCTGTTTGCTATTCCCCACTGGCAAGGCCCCGTGGTCCCTCTCCAATCCCTCACTGCCGTCTCTTCCCGCAGTCGTGATCTTCCTGCTCCTGCTGCTGTCAGGGCTGCTGGTGCTGCTCTACTTCTACCACCACCGCTACAAGGGCTCTTACCACACCAACGAGCCCAAGGCCATCCAGGATTACGGCGGTGCCGCCAAACCGTCGGCGGCCCGCAAGGAACAGAACCTGCCCCAGATCCTGGAGGAGCCCAGAGGGGACTAACGGGGCCGGGGGTGGGACGGGCTCACAGNAGCCGGCGAGCCCGGGGCCGCAGGCGGCACGCAGTCGGTACCCGCACGATGGCCACGTAGCGATCCACGCTGATGAAGGTGAGGAAGAGGAAGCCGCTGTAGAAGTTGAGGGCGTAGAGACCCTGCAGCGCCTTGCAGGCGGCTGTGCCCGCGGACCAGCCCTGCAGCGTGATGGCGAGGGGCAGCGTCAGGAGCAGCAGGAGGTCGGACAGAGCCAGGTGCTGGATGCAGACATCGCTGATGCTGCGTGCCTGGCGGTAGCGAGTGTGTGTGAGCAGCACCAGCCCGTTCCCCGCTGTGCCCAGCAGCGAGAGCAGCAGGTACACGGCGGGCTGGAAGGTGCGGGCGAAGCCCTGCACTGCCTCCTTCTCACAGAGCTCTGGCAACATGCTGGCCTCGCCCGAGTTCACATCCTCCCAGGGGTAGAAGTCAGCGCTGGCCATCAGCTCTATTGGGAAGGGGCTGGGAGTCACCTGTGCAGAGGGAGGCTGGGCAGGGGTGGCCCGGCCGTGGGATTCAGAACCACCCCTGGGACAGCCCTTCTGCACCCAGCCTCACGCTGGGGGCCCGGGGCACACCCAGGGCACGCCCAGGGCAGCCCTTCTCTACCCGCCCTCACCACGGGAACCTCATCCCAGGTGCCGCTCTCTCGTCCTGGCCCTTCCTGCGGGTTTTGTTTCCATCTCACACCCACCCGCAGCAGTTTATTTTGCCGTGCTCAGAGTGTGTGACAGTGACCTCAGAGGTTTCCTGAGCAGCTTCTGCAGAGCAGAGCTGGTGGAGGGACGTGACTGCAGCCACCACATCCCCAGCACAACACCTTATCCCACAGAATCCCCTTTCACGTACCAGGGAGCTGCTCTGGGGCTCAGCACCCAACCATGGCCCTGGGCAGTTGAGTCCTGGGATCCACACCAGCATCCCCAGGTGCCCAAAGCCCCCACGCACCTCCCTGGGGACCCCAGAGTGGGCACAGCCTTGCAGTGCCCGGTCCTGTTCCCAGATAGGGAGCTCCTGCCTCACACAGGGAGCGCAGTGCTCCCATCTCCCAGCTGCTCACCCCTCAGGGCAGCAGGACAGTGCTGCAGCCTGGTACTGCTCAGTTGGGACCCCACTGATCTGGAGATCAGGATATGACACTCTCTGACTCATCACAGCCTCATATCAGTAATTTCACTCCGGCTCCTGTCAGTGAGCCCGAGCTGTGCTTGGGTCCCTCAACTGCTCTGGGGCCACAACTGGGATCAGAACCCAGTGCCAGGGCAGGCTGACTCTCCAGCAGCTCCTCCAGACCCTTTGCTGCTCAGGGCCTGGAGCACCAGGCACCGCCCTGATTCCCCAGGATTTTACCTTTCAGTCTAAACCCACAGGACTCACTAAAAAACAAAGAAAAGCCAATGATGAGGGGGTCCTGCCTGGCTCCCAGCAAACCCCTCGCCCTGGAGCCCCCTTACCTGCTCTGTCATTGCACAGCAGAGCCTTTCTCCTGGCCTCTGAGTCTGAAGCTGTTGGTGTCTCAGCTCTTTCTAACCTGTGGTTTTGACTACGTGAAGCTCCTGATACCGAGAATAAAGAAAGGTGGCAGGTGTGACCCCACTGTGGAGCTGTAATGAATCTTTTACTCTGTTCATCTTTTACATCTGCGTGCTGGGGACAGAAATAGTAGCTCTGCTTGTCTCTGTCATGAGGGTGTGCAGGACAAAGCTGGGAACACCCAGCCAGGGGAGCAGGGTCTGGCTGAGGGCATCCAGCACATGTAGGAAACCCCAGCCCAGCCCAGGGCTGTTGTTGGCATCTGCAGGACCAGAGAGAATGGGGGCAATGAACAGAGTGAGGCTGCTGTGGGCTGGGCACGGGCAGCCGTGGGTGTGTGCTCCTCAGGCAGGATTGGCAGAGCCCTCTCTGGTCTGGGGTTGTCGTTTCCTGGTGGCAAGCGTGGTTGCTGGTGCAGGGCACTCACCCAGGGCTCCCAGCCTGGTGCTGCATCCCCACAGTGCTGGGCACGCCTGTTGCTGGTTGTTGACAACACAATTCCCAGCTCCTCATTAAAAAGCAGATTAGTTGCTGTGGGGCAGAGACCCCATTTCCTCTCCTCAGGGGGGAGAAGACTGATCCCTAGCTTTGATGGGCTCCATAATCCCTCAATCCCCCTTTCTCCCAGCTACAGCTGTCTTTGCCATGGCTTATCTCCACCCTGCCCTCGGCCCTCCTGATGCCTGCAGACAGGATCTCTGTGGGGCTGTGGAGCTGCTGGATGGAGAGCAGCCAGCACAGGTGCCCCCAGCATCCAGGGGATCCCCAGAGCTCTTTGCTGGAGGGTCTCTTCCCCCTCTCCTGCTCTTTTTGCAGTGCAGGGGTGCTACCTGCACATCTCTGCCCTGTGCTGGCTCTGGGGGTGCCTTGCTGCACCCTGCATTTGGGGGGAAGGGGAGGGAGGAGGGTCCTGGGGCCAGTCTGTGGGTGCAGAGCAGGGATTCTACACGTCCCTGTTGGGGCTGTCACAGATCTGACCCAGCACAGGGTCAGGACACGGGGCTGAGAGCAGGCAGCCCCTGGGGTGTCAGGATAAGGCCAGGGGGGCTCTGCCTCTCCTGGGATGGACCTGAGGGCACTGCCAGGTCTGGGGGACAAGAGGGAGGGTGACAACGTCCCCAGCTCACAGTTCCAGCTCTTGATAGCAGAACTGGTGCACTGCGAGGTGTCCCACATCCCTCCACACCTGGGGCTTTCTATTCTCTCTCATTCCCTGTGCAGGAAGGAAGTTTGGCCCCGGCTGCCCCAGCTGATGCCTGGGCAGCCAGCCTGGCACATTCTGCCAGGTCTGGAGCCTCCGGTGCAGAGCTGGGCACAGCCTGNGTCGGTCTGCCGTCCGTGGGAGCCCAGAGCGGAGCCGTCCGTGCCAAAGGCTTCTGTCAGCTCCCAAGGCCCCACTGCACACTCACGAGGCACCACCCTCCAGAGACTCCAGCACGGACTAAGCAAGGCGTGCAGAGGAAAACTGAGGAGAAAGGGCTCTAGGGAAGCGTCCGGCTGAGGCGGCACTTACGATGCAGAAAGCAGTCGTACTTGAAGCAGCGGCGGCAGAAGAGGGTGTGGAAGGAGTGCAGGGACTGCTCCCGCTGCACCGACTTGGCGCACGGCCCGTCGATGTTGGGGGTGCACTGTGGGGGCAGCACGTTGGGGTCGGACACTTCTGTGAGCTCCCGGTACCTGGGGACAAACAAAATGTAGGAGTGATGGGGGTAGGACGGTCAGGATGGACGGAGAGGAGAGATCTCTGCAGCCAGGTTGTGGAATTTGGGGTTTATTGCAAAGGGTCAAGGGCAGGGCCCTGCTGGGAGCTGCAGCCACAGCTCAGAGCAGGCTGAGAGAAGAGAGGGGGAGAGAGGATGAGAGGGTGAGAGAGCAAAAGCATAAGAGAGCAAGGTTCCTGTTCCAATACAACAAATCTTCTGCGTTGAATATTCTAATTCTCACTAACCAATCTAGTACAATACACAAATCCTACAGCATTTACATACAGCCTATAAGAATCATTACATTACCATACTGTGTTCCATTTTAAACCCTAAAAACTCTTCTTTGGACCCCTTCTGCCAAGCTGTAGGGTCTGCTCTGACCCTTGGGCCTGTCTGCAAGCACAGGGTGTTGTTTCACCTTCAGCAGGCCACACCATTGTTTTCCAGTTGTTCAGTAACTGAGGGATCTCAAAGCTTGCTTTCATTTCAATCTCGCTTATAGTTTCCATATTCTAAAAATCTTTTGCCAGGCAATCATATTTACAAGGCTTTACTGTTTCATCTTCCTCAACACACAAACACCCAGGGATGTGCTTTCCCCATCTGGGACAGCTTTACAGCACCATCAGGCTCTAGCCCAGGTACTGTCAGAATTCAGCACATCCCTCTGGCTCTCCTGGATTGCCCAAACCCTGCCAGGGGGCTCAGAGACCTTGGCACAGAGCCCAAGACACCTGTGACTTTGATTATGACCCATGGAAAAAATTACCAACCTTAAATGAGGATCTGCAAGCCATGAAAGTCTAAGGAGAACAATAATTACTTTGTCATGGGGTGAAAAATAGTTTTTTTGGGATTTTTAGAATGGGGGTGCAGGAGGCAAAATGGAGGAATCTGGGCATATCCAGCCTTTCTCTTTCTTGGCCTCCATCTTCTGCTGTGATGTTGGCACTTTTGGATTGGTTTAGCGTAGCAGCTCACTGTCTAACATAGGTGATAGGTATTGGGAAGTTATGGTAAATAATGTACATGTACTTTTTAGTATAAAAAGATAACACCAGTGTGCCTCTGTCTGACCTGCTGAATGGATCTCGGCAAGTTAAGAGAAAGAATTTTATAAATAAGAAACAATAAACAACCTTGAAAAAGAGAATAGAAGGGTTCTGACTCCTTCTTTGACTGCCAGGCTGGGAAAAGAGACTTTCTAACACATCTGGGGGTCACTCTGAGCAGCAGAAGGTCCTGAGAAGGTACCTCAAGTTTTGAAACACTCAAAACACACTCTGCTCACAGAGCCTGCAGGCACTGAGCTTTGTGGCACAGCCAGCCCACAGTGCTGGGTCTCTGAAATAAAGATTGCAACTCTTGCTAAGAAAAGGAACAGACAACAGTGCAGGGATTTTCTACCTTTCTTTCATATCCTCTGGGAAGCCATACTCAGGAAACATGGAAGAAATAGCAGTGAATATCATGTCATTGGGGAACCTCTTCTTGGAACACTTCTTGTTACCTGCAAAGAAGAGGAGACACAATTCTTCAGACAAGCTGATGTGGATGGGTCTTTCCTCCCTGCACAGAGCAATTCCAGAGATGCTCAGGATTGTGTTTTAAGACAGAAATGTAATCCCATGCACAATTTGTGATCTGCACCAGGCTGAGGTAATCCCAAAAGCAGTGTTAGGTCACTTGCAGCACAATGTACTGCTGGGAGCACCAACTTCTCTAAAGTGCTATTACTATTTATTTCTGCCAAGGCAGAACTTGCAGACAATGCTTTTCTATATCCACAGCAGTGTTGATGTTTGTGCTGCCCATATCACTACAGATCAAGGACAAAGACAAAATTACCCATCAGCATTCAAAAGGTCATCGAGGACACATGAAAATCCCACAGACCAGAGCTTCCTCTAGGCAACAAGAGCTCCAGGTGGCACAGGAGAGGGAAGAGGAACACTAATACATGGAAAGCAGGTCTGGAAGGGATTTGAAAAGGTCCATCTCCCTGCCTCCCACAGAAAGAGATCCACCCACACCTCCCTGACAGGTGTTTGCCAGACCAGCACTTGAAAACATCCCACAGCCTCTCAGAAAACACCCAGCTCTGCTAATCTCACAGGAAGTGGGTTTCCAGATGACTCATTTAATAGCTTCTCACCACACTTTCGGATGGTGATTTCTTCCCCTGTCCACAGCAGACAGTGAGAGCAAATAATTCCCCTTCTGCTACAGAACTTGTCAATCTGGAACTGCTCTTGGCACATTAAAAACCCAGGGATGGCAGGAGAGCAGTGGCCAGTGCTCAGGAGGGGCAGGACAGAAATGTGACCAACATAATCTTCATTTCTCTGGGGGCAAACCCACCTTCCACTGCAATTCGCTTTCTTTTCCTTGTCACTGGCAGCTCCTCTTTTCCATCCTCCTGCTTCACCTCAGAATCGTTGTGTCCTTCCTCTTCCTCGTCCGAGTACTGATTCAGAGCATTCACCAGCTCCAGGAACACAGCATCACTGATGAGGACTGACCCTGAGATCATTTCTGAAACACACAGAAGTGGCACTGCCACCATCTTTCTCATTTCTTGCCACAGCAAACCACAAGCCTACATGCTCTGCTACCCACCAGAGCCCTCCTCTCAGTTTTTTTGGGGTAGGTGGGATTTTAGCACTAAAGTCAGTAGTGGTGTATCATTTTCAGCAATCTGGGGACAGGCCACACCAGTTTTCCCTGTCTTCCTCCCCGCTAGGCAGTTTTATGATGTGGCAGGCAGTGATTTTCATTGATTAAACTCTTGGTTGAGGCAACAAGCAGAACAGGGTTGCTGAGCTTCTCCCCCTCTAGCACATTTTCAGCATCCCAGAGGATGCCTGTGAATCCCTGCACACAACAGAACTGGCTCCAGAGCACTCCGGGCATTAAAATGGAGTGAGGTGCCCAAAGGCAGGAATGTGCCCTTGCAAAGGAGAACAGCAGGCACCATCCTGCTTCCCTGCTCTGAGAGCTCCCACAGAAAAGCTGGCTGCTGCTGCCACCTTTTGACTTCTGAACTACTTGGATATTTGCAAGACACTGAACCACAGAACCATAGGAAGATTTGAATTGGAGGGAATTCTAAAGCTCATCTTGTTCCACCCTTGTCATGGACAAGCCAGGTTGCTCCAAGCCCCTCCAGCCTGGCCTGGAGTGGACAGAGCTGGCTGCTCCCAGGTTACCTTCCTCTCCATGAACTTTGCCATCATAGTTATTAATAAGTTCTTCAATGAAAGTTTCATCTTCTTCCTTCACCTCATCGCCCATGTACGGGATATTGCACAGAACTGTTTCATCCTCCACCTGAAGAGAGATCAGACACAGCTCAGAAAAGCAGAGTTTGCTGACCCCAATGGGGATGTGCTCTGGTCCCTCAGACCTGCCAACAACACAAAGCAAAGCTTCAGATGTCTCATCACTGACACATCAGTGCTATCCCACTGTAACCCAGACACAAACAAAAAGATCTGACTAAGAAATAAAACTCTTCATATAAAGGCAAATAAAAATATTAGGAAAAAACACAAACAAACAAAACCCTCCCAAAAAACATATTTACTCCTTGAATTCTGTGAAACAATGGTGACTCTGTCAAGTAGCCACATGTAAAGGAGACTACCCGGTGAGGTAGTGTGGACACAAGGCTGGTTGGGATTCTACAAAACAAGCAACTAAAGCAACACTTTCCATCATCTCTCACACAGATGTTGCTGAAACAAGCGGGATGAAGAGCCACTTCCCAACTGTGTGACAATCAGATGCTGACCTCACTGAGACCCCACACTTCCCACATACCATGAAATTCTGCTGAAGAGGGGACCAGGAGTACATAATGGGCACCAGTGCCACTGTGTTCAGGGTCCTCATGTACAATGTCTGGCTTGGAAATCCTGGGAAAATGCTCTCAACAGTGCACTGGAATACAAGTACACAGAAGGTCAGTGAGGAACCACTCTGGGAGGCTGCCACAGCCTGAGGAAAACTGAATTCAGGACAAACACAGAAGCCCCACATGCACTCTGTGCACTCCATCACAGGAAAAAGCCTTGGGGGTACTTTTTATCCATTTCTGCATTGCAGAAGTGTAAGGCATGGACAACACAGACTAAAACTCATCCATATCCCCACAGCTCCCTGCAGAGTCCTGGTTCCAGCCCCCACTTGCTGATGGTGCCCCTTTTCCTCTGCACACCTGTTTCAGGAACGGATGCCCACTGACTGGCTTCATCAGCTGCACTGGCTGCACCCGAAGTTTCTTCCAGTCCTCATTAAGGATCTGAGTCTTTTCATGAACCTTCGCAAAGTTGGCCACAAAGAGAGCCTGAAAGGAGAGAGAGGAGATGTCAAAAATTAAGAAATCCCATTGCACTCAAAAGGTTCAACAAGGAGATCCTGTAAAAACCAACTGGAAATCAGCTCTCCTGCTGCAGTTACACCAATGCTTGTTCAATGACCTCGTGTGTGTGACAGCTGCTGCCCACACAGCTCAAGACAGCACGAGGAGAAATGGCATCTCCTCCCATTGATCCAAGTCAAGCACAGCTTATCAATTCACCTCGCTGACACCCTCTGGTATCACACAGGACGCTCTGAGCTGAAATTAATTCTTTTTGGGGCATCTCAGCCCAGTCCTTGCTGTGGCTGTACCTTTGCTCCCATGTTTGCCTGGAACCTCTTGAGCTGCCGCAGACGCATGTACTCAGACTTGACTTTCCTCTTCCAGTACATGATACACTTGGATGTCGGAGGAGTGGTAATTTCCATTTTTCTGTAACAGCACAGAAAGAATAAACATTAAATAATGGAGAGATCAACCCTGAAACAAGTGATATTAGAAAAACATCCCTGTGGATGGGAAAAACACTCTATATATCACAGACTTAAACCAAGCAAAATAATGCCGTCGCTGCGCAGCGCTCCTGGCTGCGGAACACCCCCAGCCGAAGCGCACG